TAGACTGGAGCTGGTCCACAGATCATGTTTTAGGAAAACTCATTCTGGTTACCACTGAGGTTGCCGAGAGGAGAAATGTATTAGAGTGCCAAGTGTGCGTTAGGGCAAGCTTTCCCACCAGGGGCGGGTGGAGTGTGGTGTGGGGGTGTTCAGCTTAGCATAGATGGGGGTGATGGCTTAGAGTTGGGACTCTGTTCCTGGCTGCATCAGGTGGTAACCTTGAGCAGTTTCATCCTCTGCCCCTTATTCCCCTCTGTAACCTGAGTGGTTAGCATAGGAGCGTAGTTAGAATATTGCCTGCTATGTGCGGTTTGTTAGATGATGGGAAGAGGACTCTAGACCCGGAGCTTGATGTTCTTGTGACTTTATGGTGCCTTAGACTTGAATCAGGCATGTGGTGAGAGCCCACTTTGTGGTTGTATTTCCTCCAATATGTATCACTTACTGGAAGTTCCCTGCCATAGGAGGACATGGAGCATTTTGAATTCTCACTGGGCTTGTTTTCATCTAGTTTAAGGGTTGGCAAAACCCTGATATTTATAACTGATGGAACCATGCTGCTGTGGTTGAAATAATAGTCAAGGGAACTCACAACTTAAACACCCACTTAGCATCCTGTTTCCTGAGGTACCACTTCAGAACCAGGGAACGCAATTTGGGCACCACTGCTCTAGACAGTAAAGGGAGGTGTGAGTGACTCAGCCAGTCACACAGTGAACTGACAGCAGATTTGGGACTAGAACACCAGTGTCCTGATTGTTTAGCAACGCCCTTTGCCTTAAATCAGGGGTTCTCCACTTTGGCTGCCTGACAGAATCCCCTCCACAGCTTTAAGAAAGGTCAGTGGGTGGTGGGTGGTCGTAGGGCACTTCAGAGGTACTGACTTAATTGCTACAGGTTTGGCCCTTGTGTCAACTGGTGCTCAATTCATTCTGTCTTTATTAAGAAACAAACTTTGTGGAAAAATAATGTCTTACAAGTTTTGGCCGTGAAAATTAATTGCCCTGTCAAAGTTAGCTGCCACGAGTTTACAGCACCGTTGTGCAGAGGGTTCACAAGGGGGAACATGGAGTTCTTCTGGGCCCCCAGAGTCCCAACCCAGTTTCCCCTGGACCTGCTTAAAAATTCCCCCGATACTATAACAACTGGTAGTTGTTGAGGGAGCTGCAAAATACTTTGCCTTGTCGAAAGAAGCAGTTGGATCACTTGTCAGAAAAATTTCAGAGTTGATTTTTAGAAATGTGGTAGCATTCCATTGTAGTGTGGCTGGTTATTTCATGGGACCTGATCCTTGCTTCAGATACGGACTCTGGAAACATAAGTACAGAATCAGCGGCTGGACACTGACAACTCCTGTTGCATCCCTTACCGGCCCCTGCAACAGGTGCCCCAAAGACACTGCCTGGGTTTTCACTGGATGCAGGACTGTGTGAACAGGTTTGGCTCAGGTGACTGTGGGTCCCTGGGAGAGTTAGATGCAATGAGCAAGAGGTCCTTTTCTTTGGCCACTTTTCCCTAGTTATGAGGCTGTTACATGGCAATATATACTTTACTAATGCAGCAGATAACACAAACCTAGTGGTGGCTTTAACTAGTATCATGTCAAAGTAATGATGAGCATAAACAGTAATTCAGGATGTGTGGAGTGACGATACGTTATTTCTGTTGGCGACCAAGTTGCAGGTGATACCACTGTGTTTCATGGCCTTACCTTCGTAATAGGAGCAAATGCTGAATTTCAGAGGTTTGTGAAAATAAAGATAGATTAATAGACTCCCTGAATTCTATCCACGGATGATCTAAATTAAGAGTCTATCCTGGGGGCTTAGTTTTGTGCCTGGATGATAACCGCTTGTACCTACAATTGATTCATTTCTGCTGGTGCCTCACCTCACACTCCTCCTCCCTCCATGCATGCCTCAGTCCCAGGGTGCTGTGTGAGCATGCACGTCCTTCCCTCTCCGTGCCCCTGGCTCTTGTTACAGGTGCCAACAGTGGTGGCTTATGAAAAGGTCACGAAGCCCAGAGGCGGCCGCTCAGGGCCTGTGCAACATCCCGTGAGGACATCTAGGGCCCAGGCTCCTTTGGGCTCTGTGTCTCGCCACACTGAGCTGTAGCTGTCAGCCTTTCTTACAAGTGTCCACCTCCAGGTGTTGATTCTGTGGCCCAGGGAGAAAGAAAGGGGGAGGGATGAAGGGCAAAAGACCAAGCTGGTTGGGCCTTCCTTTTGTCCAGAAAACAATAGCTTTCCCGCAAGTCCCACCCAGGAGCCTCTGCTCGCAGCTCACTGGACAGTACAAGGTCATACAGCCACACACAGCTGCAGGGAAGGCTTCCGCAGCGAGACTAGATATGAGGTGCTCCTCTACCAGAGTTGGCCCGTCACCTGGGCCCCCAGGGCCTGTCCTCTGCTGGGCCGCCAAGTCGTCTCTCAATCCATACAGATTCAACTTGGTCTGTCTTCAAGGCCCAATTTCTTCCCCTCCTGATCTGTACTTCTTCCCCAGCCCTTACTCATCTACACTTCTTAAATATTGAACTTTGAGTTAGCAGAGGCATGTGTGTGAGGGGGGTTTACTACAAGTGTCCTTGGGTCCTTTGGAATGTCTTTTAGGATAGCCCCTTATTTTGGTGCAGAACTAAAACCCAGAAAGTGATTTACCCAATTATAATAGCAGTGAAAGCAGCTACAAGTAAGTGCTTGCTTCAGGTAACCTCCCAAATACCCCTTTTCCCCTATGGGAGCCATCACACACCTTCTACTTACTGGGAACCTGTGGACAGAGAGGTTAGGCAGCAGGGATGCCCAGCTCTAGAGTGTCCCAGCCAGGGTCTGTTTGCTATACTGCCTCCCTGAACTTGCACTGCCTCCCACTGAGCTTATTGGTGTTAAAGATGCTGTTAGAACTCAGATCTTCTCATCCGTAAGTCACTGTCCTTTCCACTTTACTATTTTCTGAGTTACAGTGCTTTTTCCCCTGTTGTATGGTGCATTTAATCATTCACATACGTTTCTTACTGCCTGAATTTGATTGAATGTTTTTTAAAGGTACCTCCTAACTGCATCCTCACCTTCACTCTTAGTTCTGATCCTCTTATCATACATAGCATGAGTGATTTTTTAAGACGTGATTCAGTTTTGTCACTCCTGCCTCAGTCAGTGACTTCTTGCTACTCATAGGCAAAAGGCCAGGTCCTTTGTGTGTGCTGGGAGGACAGTGTGGTCTAGCCACTACCTCCCTCTTGAGACATAGCTCATCTTCCTCCTTTCCTGCCTCCTTCCCCTCCTCAGCCATGTGCCATGGTTCAGCCTCCTCTTAGTGGTCATATACCTTCCTACCACAGGACCTTTGCACCTGCTGGTGCTGCTGGGTGGCTCCTTTCCCCTCTCTATCTTGTGAACTTGTGAGCAGCCTTCAGCCTTGTCCTATGTCCCATCCTCCAGTGTGCCCCTCTGCAGGCTGGCCTCACAGCACCAAGAAGCTCTCCTTGCAGCCCTGACCAGAATTGTAATCTTTCATTTATTTGTGTGATTATTTAATCTGTATCCAACTCCCCCTCTGGATTATTAAGATCAAGCCATGTCTGGTACCTCTTTCATCTAGTCTTTTATCCCCACTGCCTGCTTTCATGCCTGTCACATAGAGAGTGCTCGGTAAATATTTGTTGCCTTAAAAAAAAAGACATTTCTCAGCATGTAGCCCAGATTTGAGTGAATACAAAGTTTTAAAAGGCACAAGTACAGGAATGACATTTGCTACCACAGTATCTTCTAGCATCATTCTAAGATGGACCAAAAATGGTGGTTACCAGGGACTGACAGTCAGGGGGATGGGAGAGACACAAACTTGCAGTGAGTAGTAAATAAGTCCCAGAGGTCTAATGCATAGTATAGTGTACATGGACAACAATGATGTATTATAATAAGCAAACTTGCTAAGAGATTAGATCTTAATTACTCTAACCACAGAAAAAGAAATTATGGATTGATTATTGCTGTAATGGTACTCACATTACAATATATAAATGTATCAAACCTCAAATATATGTAATGTTATATGGCAAATGTATTTCAGTGTAAAAAATAAGGTGGACCAAAAGAACTTTAATGGCTTCAGCCAGAAAAAGAATTCAATGTTTTTTATTTCAGGGGAGATAAGCGTGCTATTCAGAAGTGAATGTCATATGCCCCTGACCTATTCAGTCTCAGTGTTTTAATATTTTACTCCTCTAGAAAAATCATAATTGAGCTCCCTTTTTTTAATAGTTAAAATTTTAGGCATGTATGATTCAAACATGGTTTTTTAACATGTTCATCTTGAAATAGTCTAGAGATCAGCTGGCCGGTACTAAATCCATGATAGATGAGGGAACACAGGCAGCATGGAGCTTTAGGGCAGGAAGAGGAAACAAAGATGTTGGTGGCAGCTGGAAACTGAAGAGGTGGGAAATACGAAAAGGAGATTGGAATTGGCCACATCTTGGTAAGACTGGAAGAGACTGAGTGTTAAGGGAAAAACGTGTTCTTAAAACTCAGCATGTAGACCGAAGAAGATGGGCACTTCTCTGAGAGTGAGAGCGCAAGGCCCCTACGGCAGAAAAAAGGGTCTGCTTACTTCCTCTTGAAGAGCCTGCCACAGGGGCCTCCCTTTCTCCAAAGACTCCAGGCCAGCCAGCCCTGCCCTGGGGGTGCAGTGGGGAGGGGACTTCAGGGGTTAGATGTTAAAGCTGGACTCCTGAGGACTTGCCTGTTTTTGGAGTTTTATGTCACAGCTGCACCTCACATTACGGGGGCTCCAGCCCAGCAGGCAGGCAGGACTGCGTCCTCCCTCGGGTGGGGGTGACAGCAGGGGCGTATCCAGGACCCTCCCCATCCCGAAGTATTCTTGCCCGGTTGTGCCCCCACTGTTTGCAAACCGGAGGGGCAGCCTAGGGGGCATGTCAGTGACCTGGCAGCGGCCCCCACGGTTCTCACTCCTCCCTGTCGCCTTCTCCACCAGGAATCAGACGGCGTTTCCTGTCACTACTGGTCGCTGTTCGACGGCCACGCGGGGTCCGGGGCCGCCGTGGTGGCGTCGCGCCTGCTGCAGCGCCACATCGCGGAACAGCTGCAGGACATCGTGGAGGTCCTGAAGAACTCGGCCGTCCTGCCGCCCGCCTGCCTGGGCGAGGGGCCCGAGAATGCGCCCGCTGACGGCCGGCCCCTGACCCGGGCGGCCTCACTGCGCTCAGGGCCGGGGGCGCCCGGCTCCCCCAGCGCCCCTCCCGCGCGCTTCTTCACAGAGAAGAAGATCCCGCACGAGTGCCTGGTCGTTGGCGCCCTGGAGAGTGCTTTCAAGGAGATGGTAGGTGTGGCTGGAGGGGCCGAGGCGGTCACTTAGCCAGACCCTTGCTCCCTGGGAGGTTTCCAGAAGGCTCGGCTCGGCCGTCCGCTGGTTGCATGGAGTCTTTGCCATTGTGTGGCACGGCCTCCTTTCTCGCCAAAGGTTGGCACAAGATAGAGTTCTGGCATTGAGCGCTGGCAGGAGTGAAAGAGAAAATGGCAGAGAGGAATAGTGCGGAGGTAATCACTAGGTATATGCATTATTGCTTTTCTTCCTGCAGACTCATTGATGCCGGCTGGTACAATGCCACTTAAGTGAAATGTGAGCAGGACGAGTGTATGAATTCCAGGTGTTTGGGGAAACAGACCTTTTAGTAAAATGCTCAAAAGGGCCGGTCCTGTGCAATCTGATCTGAGAACAATGTGGTAGTTAGCTGCCAGAAGAAAAAGGTTAACAGCTGGAGGAGAACTGAGGGGCCAATATCCAAGAGTCATTTTGTTTTACTTGGGAGCATGCATTAATTTGTACATTTAAATTTGAATGTGTCTCATCAAGGATCTCAGCCTCCTTCCGTCTCAGCCTCGCTCCTGAGAACACACTGCTCTCAGCGCCCCTTGCTGCCCCCCACTCTGCTGGGTGAGAACACGCATGGATGGTCGGCCCCTGCTCAGCTCTGTGCCACCCCTTCCCTCCCTGAGATCACTTTTCTATGGAGAAAATTATTTCGGCTCCAGAGATTTTCTTCCTGAGCAGCAGCCTAGATGCACGTAAAGAGTAAGAAGAGTTTTAAAGATGTTATAAGGACTTGAGTGAAGTGAGTGGGTGGTAGTGTCCTTAAAACCTGGAGATTAAAAAGTGATGACAAGCTGCTTAGTGAGGCAAGAGCAGCTTAGGAGTGACTCCCCAGAACTGAGTGTACACACCGTGTACACTCCTAATGTCAGTTCATGCGCTAAGGAGAGGAGAACAGTGAATGATAATAGACAGCGTCATCAGATTTGTTGTAAGACAAAAAAGGCCATGTATTCTCACCTCAAATCTATACCCTCTCCTCATCCTTTCTTTGGCCCCAGCGTTTCTCTCCTGTCACATAGATATTTACCCTATGATGAGCAGGTGGTTAAAGTGCTTCTCTGTAATAGAAGTGCCTGTTAGCCTTTAATCCCAAGAAAAACACCAGGAGGCTGGAAAATATTGATGCCGGGGTTCTTGTTTGCAGAGTTGAAGAATGAACTTAGCAAACAGTCAAGGTAGGAGAGCCAGGGAGACTTTTATTGAGAGATACAGTGAGAGGACAGACGGAGTCCCTGGCGTGAGCCAGGAGGGGACAAGAGAGCCTTTAGTGGTGTGTTGTCTAGGGGATTTTATAGGCGGTTGAGAGACAAAGGGCTAGGGATGCAGACCCACCAGATGGTCTCTAAATGTTTATCTTTAAAGAGGCACTAAGTTTCTTGTCAGTTTTCCAGATTATTTTGTAGAGTTAACATAAGAAATTTACTACTTTTATTCCGTCTTGGAATAGCAGTTTCTTGGTTTGGGAGCATAACAATCAAGGCTGCTTGTCTTGCTTTCAAGGTGAGCTGAGTTATTGACTTGATTAGGGCTGGAGAAGGAAAAGCAGCATCTGGGTAAAGTTAAAGATAAACTGGGCTTTTTAGCAGGCTAAAGTAAATTTTACAATAGTTTTATTTAATTGACACAAACAAGACATGGGCCATGCTGAGGTATTTTCCTATCTGGGGGATGTTCAAACATACTAGGCTAAGTTATTCTTGGCCTTTTAGTGTTAACTAATCTTCATTGAAGAATGCCTATATTCCTAGTTTGATATTTTAGTTTAGAGAATTAATGTGACTCTGTCTTTGTTTAATTGTTTAATATGGAGTTTTGGTAGGGGTCTTTTTCCAGAGGCCCTCACTCTGCTCTGACTACACCCACGGTCCCTGTGTCATTATTATTTAAGAAGAAAGGAGTCAAGGTAGTAAAATCAACTCCTACCCAACTTGGTGTAAAATCTTACTCTCTGGCTATTATAGAAGCTCTGATGTGAGTAAGTGTTTCTAGACACCAGTGTTCAGAAAGCTAAATATTTAATTGTAAAAATTTGACAGTGGGCTATCCCCCAAATGGAAGAAAAAGTGAGATGATAGAAGTGAAAGGCAAAAGAAACTGGGTTTTTTCATTTCCTTCTTTAATTGCTAATGCCATAGGACATGTATTATTGGAACTGCTGTATTCTCGATTTTATCCACTAGAGGCCAGTTCTGCATTGAGTCAGGCCTTCACAGAGGTGGTTTCTGCCCGTTAATGGCCCAGGGTTACTAGCAACTACACTTGAAATGAGAGACTCATTGAGAAAAATGCTTAGTAAAGAGCCTCATTCTTATCTTCTAAATGTTTTCAGCTTTTAACTAGCCAATTCACTACCTGAATTCTTCTTAGAAACATAGTTGCCAGAAAGGAAAAAAGATCCTTTCACTTTCCTATATAATTCATTAAATCAAAAACTATTTGTTGAGAACTACCTACCTGCCTGGCCTACCAGGAAAAAAAACAATGAACAAATTAGGCAAGGATGTGTATTAAACAAAAAATCAGTGGGAACGGCCTTGAGAGGAGAAATGGAGGGTGCAGGAGGGGTCTGGTAGAGATGCAGCAAATGGTTCCCTGTGAATTGATGCTCAGCAGGGTGGGAGGAAAGCACAGGACACAGGAGGCTGGGAGGGAGTTCTGGGTGGGGGAAACTGCATGGAGAACCACATCTGGGAGAGAGCGCCAGACAGGCAAAGACACCAAGCCGATGTCCCCCATGGTTAAAACAGATTTCTGGGGCCGGAATGATGTGAGGAGACTTGCAGAGGTGGTCTGGAACCTGCCTGTGGAGGATCTGGTGAGCCAGTGTATGAATTTTGGCTTTAAGTCAAATATCTCTTCTCCTCCAATCTATCCCACCCTGCAGCTTCCTCTTCACACTTAAGTTTTTCCCAGATTGTCTCTCTGGTTCCCAGCATGCCAGAGGCCTCCCTGGACTTTGCACCACGTCCCTGGCCTTATTAAGTGAGAATACTCACCATTCTTTGGTTCTGTGATGCGTGGTAGGGTGGCTCTCCCTCCTGCCTGCTCTGCTGGGACTGAGCCAGCTGATACCTGTCAGCCCAGAGTAATTACTCATATGTCCTCTTTTACCCTCAAAAGTGTCCCTGTTTGTATGATGTCTTACCTAATTAGACAGTGGTCTTGTTTTTCCTTTGCTTCATCAGGGACTGCAGGAAAAATCTATGCCAATGTCATAAAAACATGCTTGACTTCACCATTACATTGCTTGGGATAAGCTTCAGAACCCACAACACAGAAATTAAATAGCATACTCTCAATGTAATGGCCTGGAAGGCTAATGCCAATTCACATAAAATACTTTTTCTTTCCTTCCCCTCTCGGTAGTAAGTTTTTGAGAGCCAGTGTTTGAAAGTAAGCTTTGAAATGCCCAACATGCAGCTAACTTCCTTTTCCTGTTGGTCTTGAAGAGGGGCTTGTATGGAGTTTCTGGCCATGCTTAAATTTTTCCCTCACCCTAGCCATCTACTTTCTAGCTTTCCCATTTCTGGGTCTTCTTTAGGTTTTTTCGGTCTTGTTGCCATCCTGCTCCTCTAGATAGGAAAACTCAATATTAAAAAGATTCCATCATTTTTCAGGTCTGTGGCTCTCTTGCTTTTTCTCTTCTTTTAAATCCCTAAAAATTCCCCAAGCCTAGCACCCTAAGCCTCAAATTTGCCTCAGTAATGAATTCTTTGCAGCTGCCCCTTCTGAGATTCAGAATGTAACTTAAAATACCTTTAAAGGCAAAGGTTGCCCTTCACTGGGGTTTTGCTTTATCTACGGCAGCTCAGCAACATAGAATCAGGTCTCGTGTGCGCGCATGCTCTCCACTGCCCCTTTCTGCCACTGGTATTTATTGAGCTTATATTTTATAACCAGCATTCTTCTAGACACCATGGGTGTCTAGAAATAAGGGATTAGATTTTATATCTGGAGGCATTTGTAGTCACACATATGAATATAGAGATACACAATACCTTATTTATTTTGATCTAAATAACAATAAGTCGGGTGGTGAAATACTGATTTCTGTCTGAAAGGGAGACTCAGTTAAAAAGATAAAGAACCACTAAGCCAGGATAAATAGTACTTATTTCTAGTTGCAAAATACAGACTACCAGAAGTGGACAAAAAATGCTTTGAACTTGGGGAGATGATAGTGGTTTCTTCAAATACTGTTAGCTGCTTTGAGGGTGCTGTGTTTTCTTTCCTCTTTGATCCACAGGTTGTGTGGCGCAGCATGTGGCTTGTGGGGAAGGTGGCCTCTGACCCCCAGCCTCTTATGCTTACTGTGCCTGCCGGCAGAGGCAGGTTTGCCTCGTGGCCTCCTTGTTGAATCTCACCTTGGATCTTCCTTCATGGTGAGAAGGCTGAGTCGCCATTTCTCCTGTATCCTCTGTGGCAAATGAACCACGGCTTCCTAAAGGACCAGAATAGTAGGAACGTTTTGACTTGCTTCAATTCGGTTTCACAGCAACACTTTGTAGCAATGCTAATTGAGCAGCTGAGTTTTGTTACCTGTTATGTTTAAGTTACTGCTTGGCTCAGGATGTGAATAAGATAAATGTCTTCAAGAGTCCTGGTGTCAGTCCCTTCTTACTGCCCCATTCTCCAAAACCAGGATTGAATAGTCAGCATTTCAGGCAGTCACATCCATTGTTGGTATAGTTAGTTGCAGGAGACCTTTGCCCTTCTAGGAATCAAAACCAAGGCAGCAGCCATTAGCTTTTCACTCTGTCACCTGCAGGATTGGAGTTCTGGATACAGGCAGGAAGACTCTAAAAATCCTATCCTATTTCTTTCTCAGTGTAGGTCTAGATTCCTCACCACATTTAAGAATGTCCTAGAACTTTGGTTGTTAAGAAAGAGAAAAATGGCAATATTTTAACTTCTAAAATAAAAATACATTTTCCTGTTACTGAGTAAATGGTTGGAAATATTACTCAGCTTGGCTTTGTTGGTAAAAACTGTATAGAGAAACTATGGCGAAAAAAAAGGAGCAATGCAAAACTTACGGTTTTATAAGTCCTAGTGTTTTCAAAAATTAGCATATCCATGTTAAGTTGTGGACCTGCCTAAGCTGCCTGTATTTAAGCTAGAGTTTTGTTTGTTTCTGGTTGAGCAGGAAGTCCTCGAAGAAGGAATGAGTGTTAGGGATGATATTCCACTGTCACCCAGCAGGTGGCAATATTAGGCAGTACTTTTTCCTTCCCACTGCCTGGCTGACAGGTTGGCTTGTTCTCAGAATAAACCGAAATCAGACCCAGATACTAAAACCATGCAGAATCTTATTATTTGTGACTGACACTATTAGCCATGTGCTCAGAACCACGTTTTAACCCAGCTGGGAGAGAGCTGCCAAGTCCTACTGAAACGATCCAGTACTCGTTCCGTTCTGCTGTCTGTCACTGCTTTCCTTCTGCAACCCGAATTTGGTAGGAAACAAAGAATGATCTTGGAATTGCATCATCTCTGGGGCTTGCAAGCCAAATTACAACCATCCTGAGCAATGTATTTTCTTTCTTGCAATTCTTTTCTGCTGAATTAGTCACATTTCACACACGTCTCTCGTTTCCCTTCATTGCTCTTATTCTTCCTTGCACCAAAAAGGAGCAAAATAAAGTCCCAAGTCTTAAAAATTAGGTCACTTTTTCTATTAAGAGATAGAGGCCCAGCTTAAATGTAATATTTACACAGACACAACACAGGATAAATCAGGCCTGCTAAGTAGAAAGCAGCCTTTAGAGGTCTGTTGGGCTCTTGATAGAGCAGATAAACCAATTGTCTTGTTAATTGAATCTTATGAGTCATTGAAGCTGATCCTTTTAGACCATGCTGGGAAAGAAAGGATAGTATGTACAGGTGTTTTGCTAGTAAGTTACTCTAGACTTACATCCTGGGGTTCCTTGACAGCTAAAATGAGGAAATAATCCAATTGGTGATTGTTTAGCTAGCATAAAGTAGGGGGCAGATTTTCATGTGATTTCACCGATTTTTTTGAAAAAATGCCCAAACTTGAGACTTAAAAAAAAAAAAAATTACAATGTACATTTTGTGTATTTTTTTTACCTACAATGTGAGAAGCCTAAGCTAATAGGAAAATTTGAGTGTTTAAAAAAAATAGGTAGTTAATTTAACAGCAAGTATATCTTTTTTAGACTTCATTTATCTTGTTTGATCTGGTAGTAAAAGAACCAAACAGATGGTCCTTTAATGTTCCTTTCAGTTCTAAGATTTTTGTGAAACATCTTTTAAAGAGGAGTAGGTGGTGTAGGAAAAAATAAATGTGCTATTTTGGCTTGTAGGGAGGGGAGAGGGAGGCAGTTATTTTTAGAATATGTTCTAGTTACACCCAGTTTTAGAAGAAATACAAAAGTGTATTTTCATGACAGTAAATCCTTCATGGGGATAAAGTCTGTGAAGCACACCTTTCAGTCCTCATGACTGTGATCCCAGAGAGCACACATGTGTGTGCATATGTATATTACACAAACGGTGGGGTGATGAGAGCATGAACATATTAGCAGAGTTTCTTGGATAAAAGGCAGCTAGACTTTAGTCCACTATTGAAGTGAAAATGCTGCCAAATTTAACATGCCTTATGCTGGGGGAACTAGAGAGGGAATGTAGTTGAAAAGTAGGAAAAGATGAAAGAAATGACGAAATCAATTAGAAAAAAATACGGAATCACATTATTAATGTAATAGTGAGGGATTAACTGGGCAAGCTAACTCGAATGTTTCCCAGAAAATTAAAGGCAAATATAATAAACTCTGCTGTAGCAGGAAATCACAGTGCCAAACACTGTCTTGATGTTTTTTAGGGATTCAGTAATTGTATAATCAGATTTGCTGTGGTATAAACCATGATTTAAAACCCGTGTTGCAGAATAAACTTTTCTGAGTCCCAGAGGAATTCTTTGTTGCGGACAGCTCTTGCGCGTGGACCTGTGCACCATAGAGCATTTTGCCCCTTACCAAATTGATTTAAGTGTGTCAGGCATCATTCACACTCCAGCCCATGTGCTGCATGTAAGCAGTTGGGTGCTCAAGGGATTTTTAATAAAAATTGTCTTTCATTCAGACTTTACGTATTGAAACAAATGCTGATTCTGCCTATGGCAGGATAGTTTCTGTAGCTAGAGCAGTTCCTTCCAAAGTACTGGAAACAGCATTGGATGAGGACTTGATATACCAATTTATATGTTAATCTGATGAAATAGGTAACTTTCATAGTATCAACTTTATATTATTTGAAATCGAAAAATGCATAAATCTACCCACAAACTCCTTTGTGAATAGAGCTGTTGGTATTTTTGTGTGTTAAACAACTCCTACCATTTTGATGTCTTTTTTCCCCTCTGTCCCTTCCTTGTGAAAGTCCTTCCCAGCTGATGTCTGTGCCCCTCCTCTTCACCTGCCTGCTTCCTGCCATCCCTGTGTAGGCTCTGATAGCCATTCATTCATTCTTGTTAACTGACTGTATTTTACCTGCACTGTGGTTCCTGCCTGATTACTATCTCAGGGGGCATTTATTTGCACTGCAAGCATTTCATTTGTGAGTTGTGGACCGTATCTTCCATATTAAGGCAGAGGTAAGGGGGTAGGGAGACAATCAGGAAGCTCAGGCATTTTTCAATGTATGTCTGCACTTGCCTGTTTAATAGACATTTGTTAAACTACCTCTTACCTGGCCCAGTATGGATGTTAAGGGGTTAGCAGTGAGCAAAAGAGGTCTCTGCTCTCAACCATGGAGCTTCCAGGCTGTGGGAAGAATCTAGATTGCCTGCTAAGCCCCTCATACACACTATCTAACTTAATCCTCATGAAGGTGCTTTAAGAAAACTAATTTATTAGAGTTGAAGTAAATTTTAAAAATCCAGTATAGTCCTCGAAGGTCATCCTCATGCTTGACCCTTTTACAGCCTCTGATGTTCTTTCCACTTCTTCCTTTATGGGAATTTTTTTACTTCTAACCCCCCTGACCCCGACGTTCCTCGGCCTTCTTCTTCCATTCCCTCTTCCCCAGTTCACTCCCAGGGTGTTGTTTCCTCCCAGATCCTGTCTTTGTACTTAATTGCATTCACTTTTTCACCAACATGCTGTTCTTCATCTGTGTCCTCCGCTCCAGCTCTGCTTTTTTTCCCAGTTTCTGGTTGGTGATGTATCTGACTATGTATTGCACCTCTGGCCTCTGGATCCAAGCAGTTACTGATAAATTCTGTATTGTTAAATTACCTACCCCTTTTCCACAAGGAGGCTGGCAGAGGTATCTGAGTTCTAATTCTTTGTGTTTCTAGTATCACAAAAGGGCCTGGCGCTGGGTCAGCATGGCTCCCTCAGAACCAGCCGGGCCGCCGTCTCATCCCGTTCTGTGCCTTGTCTCCATCCTCTGTCCCTGTGCCCCATCAGTAGATTACTGTGGGCATGTTGGGCATTATCTTTGCTAGCAATCAGTTTATTTTCCTAACTCAAGTCATGGAACCTATGCTTCTGTCACTGGCACCGAATTTCACAGACCTCTGTCTTGAGATGACGCCTATCTGTCAGCAGAAGTGGTGGTCTATTTTTAATTTTTATGGGAGGCCTCATTAGATGGCAGGTAATAACAGGTGTTGGTAGAGGAGAACCAGACTGGAGTCCAGTCTCTGGTCCGGTAAGTACAGGCAAACAACCCCACTTCGCTACCTCTGAACAGTAGGTTAATAACATGGTTGTGAGGATGAACTGAGGTTCTTTGTGTGAAGTGCTAAGCGTACTGCCTGACATAGTGAGTGCTGGTGCTGCTATGATGTGTGTCTGTTGTGAATTAGCAGCCTTGGGAAGGGGAAGTTAGGTCAGGATTAGAAAGTTTACATCTTTGATTGGTAAGATTGAGGGGGGTGCTCCTGCCTGCATTGAATAGAGGCCACAGTTCTTCACATCCCCTCTATTCCCTGGCTGTAAGAGAAACTATTTATTGGAGACTTTGGGGTTAAAAACAACAGTCTTGTCCACACACTTGGCACTATCAGCCGCTCTGCTGTTTCCACATGGCAGCTCGGGCAGTCGGTACAAAGGCTAAATCTCCCCCAAGCTGTAGTGTTTATTAAATACAGTTGGTTTTATTATTCTCACTCTTGTCTGATCGTATCTGTTTGCCATCCCTTGCTGCCTGTCTCTGGTCTGCAGATGGTCTAATAGGCAGCAATTTGAAACCAGTGTCCACTCCAGAAATGCTCATCAGCCAGTCGAAAAGTACTGGAGATTTTCTTGTCCCTTCTTTGAAGCACATTTAGACTCCCAGGGCTGTGTCGAGGGAGCCAGGCTAAGAACAGCTGTGATGGGAATTCCTGTACAAGCCACCACTAACTTTGCTTTTTTTCCTCCAGGACCTACAAATAGAACGTGAGAGAAGCTCGTATAATATATCTGGTGGCTGCACAGCCCTCATTGTGGTTTGCCTTTTGGGGAAGCTGTATGTGGCGAATGCTGGGGATAGCAGGTAAGCGGATTTGCCATTTGTCTCTTGCTAATCTCTGATGCCTTCTGAGGGTTTTTCACTATTTAAAAAAGTTAAGTAACTAGAAATAAAGTAATTCTGCTTGGGACTGGATATTGAAAAAGATAAGCCTTCTACATCTGAATAAAAATGCATCTAAGAACAATCATCAGGCAGTTTTCCGCTTGCCCACAGTAGTGATTCATGCATACACCTGGGTTTAATCTAAACCAGGAGTAGCCAGCCTTTTTTCACTTCAGACCTGAATCTTCAATGAAAGCTTAGCATAATATGTGAGAATGATGAGGGAAGAAGGGATTTGAATGAAGTGGGTCTTCGGAGGGGACCCTGGAGGACTCCCCAGCTGGTTCCGTCCTGCTCAGTGACCCCTCGGTCCCCTCCCAGAAGCATAAGGAGTGTCTCCTTTTGTGCACAGGCCCTCACGGGCTCTGCTTGTCTCTCTTCTCAGTTCAAGTGAAGGGAATTTTGGCCAAGAGATTATGGTTAACTCTTGCTCTATCCAGCATTACCAGGACTAAGATAAAATGTGTTTTAATTTTATTTTAAATAAATGATATATCCATACTTTCCGTGCAGGGAATTTTTTATAGACTTTGTGCAAAGAGTTCTAATACATATTACATGCTTTTTCTGTATCTTTTCATAGCAAAATATGTTAGCTTTATATTTGCTAAAGACTATTCTGAAAGCAGTCAGTGCTCTGGACTCTAACCTTGATGTCCCCAGGGAATGGGCGATTTCGCTGTGCAGTCTGCAGGCTTGTGATGCTCTCATTCATCTGGGCCGTGTGCCTCTTCCTGCAGCCCTGCTTGCCCTGGACCCTCCTGAGGTCTACCTGCTCCTTCCCCTCACCTGTCTGGTCAGGTTGCCCTGCACCTGGAGCACTGACTTGACTCCCTCAGGCCATCAAGGAAATTTGCTGTTATTTTACTTCTGTTTACAAGCAGGAGAGCCTGAGGGGATCTCACCTCCCACTAGTGCAGCTGCTTTGCTCAGTGCCCCCACCAGAGATCCCAGAGACCAGAGGACAGTGAACAGCAAGGCAGCAGTATTTGGGATTTGAAAGTTGATGCTTTTTGAAGGTCTGTTTATTTTTAAAGTACATGTGGCTTTCCATTTTACTCTCTAAGATAACTCACTTTCAATATAAAATGGTGCCAGGTAAATAGGAGTGTGTGTAAGACTCCATGTTTATCCTGTGGCTTCATTCCCTAGTGTGACATCAGGGTCCCAGCAGAGGTAGACACCAACTCAGATGGGTCATGGAATAGAGGAGGGGAAAGGAGCCTGCTGGGAACATTGAGGCCCAGGTGGACATTCGCCGCTGGAGACCTGCAGGGACCCGGGAGAGTGGGCGCCGAGGGCCCATGGGCAGGAGCTACCAGAGAGAATGGGAGGGACTCTGATGTCTCTCACCAGGGCTTCCCGTTGTGTGCTCAGCTGGAAGCCAGGTGACAAGGAGCCCAGGGAACACGGGTTGTAGAGGTCAGCCAGCCAGGGTGCCAACACAGCCCAGGAGCATGGCTCTGGGGAGGAGTGGGCGGAGAGTAACCAGCTCACCTGCTGTTCCTTCTCTCTTTCATTGCCCAGTGTTTGAGCATCTTAAAAATAGGACTCCTGACTCTTTAGGGACTTGTAAGCCACACACTGAGGAGCCAGCCTCTGGGCCTCTTGCTATGCCCAGATCTCAAGCTTGTTGGAAAACAGATGAGCAGATAGGAGGGGATGTCCTTCTGCTCGGGGAACGCAGATGAGTGACACGGCTGGAGCTCACGTTCGCCTGTGTCTGTATGTCTGGTTCCGTGTTGTAAGTTTGCTTTCCTGCCCTTGCAGTGGCCAGGGAGGGGACTGTTCCCTGACCCCCCTTGTCCAGGGACTCACCTCTCACTGGAGAGCCCCAGACTCAGAAGGTAACCCAGCCTCTGTGCCCAGAATGTCTTTGTTGCTTTATCCTTTTCACAGAAGCAGCCCCTCCCCAGTACGTCTTCATCATTTTTTAACATAGTTTCCCTCAAGGTTCTAAACTCCTTAGCAGAGCCACCTCCCCGGCCAGAGCTTCTGATCCTCCTTCCCAGAAGCTCAAGGTCACCTTCTGGACTCTTGTAGCTCCCCGCTACTCTTTTTTTACTGCCAGTTTTGAGACCATATCTTGATTTCTGTATCTATAAAAATGGTGTATGAGGCTAAATAATGTCCAAAGCTCCTGGCATTCTAAAAATTACCCTATGAGGAAGGGCATTTTTCGAAAATAAAGTGGTGCTATGAAGGTTGATGTTTTGGTTATTCTATCTTTTTGAGAGTCAGTTTTTGAAATTTTAGTAGGACCGAGGTTCCTGTGTTTCTAAGTGTCTATAGTTGTATGACATTTCTCATGTTTATCCCTAGTGATTTGAGAAGCCTAACAGGTGCTTTTATTCTTATTGGAGTTGAAAAGCACCAAAAAAAGCAAAAAAGTTACCCTATGGTAAAATAGCATCTCTAAAACCTAATAAGCTTAATTACATGAATAGTATCCTGTATCTAGATATAAATTTGAGTTCTTACGCCTGGCTGGTTGGGTTTGCTGTTCACATATGGGTCATAAGCCATATGGAAACCTAAGAGCAATGTGACTTGGTATTTGTATCCACTATCCACAAGATTTCCACATATGTCTCAGGCTGTGGACCAGTCGGCTGGCATCACTGTGGACCATTCCTGCCGAGAGTGATCACTGACTCAGAGCTGCTAAGTCTGCATCAGGCACATATCCACAAATGCCTTATAGGCATTTCTTCATTAGGGTGCCATTTTCAGCTCTTATATTAATAATAGGTACTTGATATCTTAAGATCATTGTCTCCTTTATATATTAATAATATAGGTATTTGAGTTTGCAGAAACACTCAGTTATTTCCAAGAAACAGCGCTTAAGTGAGCTTTGCTCAGACCTAGTTAAATGTAGGTATGTTATCACTTGCAGACAAATAGTCACGGGTCCCGCTACTGATGTAATGGCTGTGGCCACTACAAGATCTTTGCTTGGGCTCCTCTGTCTTGCTTGACTCTTCAAATCAGGGTGGGCTCCCATTTCTAGTCTTAAAGCCTTCACTTCATCTTGCATATAAAACCCTAAATAATTCTGTGGATTTATAAACAGTTGTATCTATATAAGGCCTTAAAGACTACCTTGTAGAGCAGTGTACATACTTTTTTTTTTAAAGCAGTGGAGCCATTGTCCATTTTCTGTAGATGCTTATACACATTCCCCAAATGTAAAAACAGGTAAGGGTGGGAATTGTTCTGACATCTGGAACCAGCTTGAGTGCTCACACCAGCTCCCTTTTTCCAAGGTGGTGCCCGTAGCTGCTCTGTGGGGACGGTAAAGCCACCTGAACTGGGTCAGAAGGCTAATGACCTGGTCCATGGATGCCAGACTTGCTCGGACATCAGAATCACCTGGGGTTGGGGGGGCATTTCCCCTTTTTAATTTGCTTTCCTTTGAGCAATTTATCATGAAAAATTAAAAATATGCAGAAAAGTTGACTCAGAGTACACTCCTCTATATGTACTACTTAAATTCTGCAGTTAGCCAAAATAATATTTTAATCTTGTATCCATCTACCCATCTCTCTATCAGTCCAGTGCAGGCATTTGTGTACCCACCTGGGGGATTTCTTCTTCTTTTTTTTTTTTAATGTAATTGTTGGGCCCCTACACTCAGGCTTCCTTAATCAGAATCATTGAAGGTAGGACTGGAAGTCTTTATTCTAAAAGCACTTTGGGATTCTGGTGTAGCCACTATGCAGATCACTGGTCTAGTCCGCATCCTCTTTTTTGTTGATAAGGAAAATGAGGCTCAGAGAACTCACCTTTCTCAAGTTCTCCCTGGTAACCAGTGGCAGGGCTGGAACTAGAACCCAGATTGTCACCTGCTTTTGCAGGTTCACCCTCCACTTGCCAAGGGTTTGCTTGGTATCTACCCAGCAACATAGGCTTTTCTAAGATCAAATAATACCTCCTGCCCTGCTATTCATATCTGTTAATGGTTTTTGGAGCCACTACCTATCTTAGGGGGTTGTGAAAAATACTTCATTTTCTCTGTGGTTGAAATTCTCAAACATTATTGAGATAAACAAGCATAAGTACAGGACCCAAAAGCACACAAATGCAGGTGTCTGATGTTGCCCTTAGGTGCCTCAGTGGGTCAGTTGTAGGAAATGCACTGGGGCTGGGAGCCCAGAGACTGGTCGGTAAACCCCACCCTTGTCCCAAACTGCCAAATGTCAAAAATTCACATCACTCTGAGCTTCAGTTCCCTGCTTTGAAAACAAGTGGAGTTACCAAGATCCTGTTAACTGATCTCAGAGAGGTCATCTGGCTCTGAAACTCGGTGACCTCTAAATAACATCCTGCCGGAGGCTGACTCAGCCTGCTCAGCTCCCTGCACTCCTGAGGCCCTGATAAGTTTCCTTCCCTCCTCTTAGTGGCTTAGATGCTGAAAGACAGATGCCATGCCCAGACCTCAAGCCCAAAGCAGCCTTCCAGATCCACCTCTGCCAGTGTGGTGAGGTCCTGTCCCCAAGAACCTGTCGTAGGGTTGTTCCAGAGCTGAGCCTCCCACAAAGCCCTGACCTGCTTCCTGGGGCTCCTCGGGATCACTTCTGGTCCTTCACTGCCTTCCAGCCTCAGAGGCCCTGGTCTGCAGCTCCAGCACTGTGTCTCTCAACTGGATTTTAAGGCTGAGCATTTTTCAAAGCTCAGCTCACCTTTCACCCTGGACCAGCAGCTCACAGGCTAGTGGCACTTGTGGCAGTGGGTACCCCCTTCCTGTCGTATTGCGTCCTGCCCTTCAAATGAGACGCACTCTCTTTTATCCCTTTCCTTGCAATACTGCCCATGCGTGGTACTGCCTGCTACTATACAACTAGTAGTACTACCACGGGCTCGTACTGCGAGCACTGCAGCTACTGCCCTTACCACCACTGTTGTCGCTATTCCAC